GCCTGTCCACCCTGACTGCTCTCCCACGACCCATCTGTCCCCATGCCAGCCTTACCCCACCCCACACACCGCCAACTTCCCCTCAGTGTCCCTGTCTATCCTGTGTGCCCCTGCACACACCTCTGCTTGCCCCCACACTTCCTCTAGCCCCCACAGACCCCCATCCATCGCTGGGCAGCCCGTACTTTGCCTCTGTTCATAGGCTTCTTGTGAGATCTCGTATTTCTCCACCTTGGACATGTCCTCATACTCCCCAAGGCGGGCACCGCTGTGGTCAATGACCTGGAATGAGGCAAGTGAGGTCAGTGGGCACAGAGACCCACTGGATGGTGCGGGGTGAGTGTGGCTCCACATTCTTCAGATTTAAGTCTCTCCTGCCTCCAAAAAACAACATTCTCCTACCTTCACTTTTATCCCTGCTTTCTGTCCTCCCCGGGGCCCAGCCGAAGGGGTGACAGCTGGTGTCTACAACAGATGTCTCCCCCTCTGTGCTCCATCTGAGGCCCTGGAGGCTGCATCTGCCTCCCATCTACTCCATACACCAGCATCCACATGATTGATGGCCCCAGGCCACTGGAACCCAAGGGCAGGGCTCAGGGTAGCATGAGGGCTCAGGTAGCTCACCCTCTGGGTAGCGTGTCTGTCTTCTCCGGACCCTGGGACCCTCCTACGCTGATCCCAGGTTCCATGTCTTGGAACATCTCTGCCCCTGACATCCGTTCACTTGCTCCTCCAGGGTGCCCTGCTGGGCCCTGTGCTGGGTACTAGTGCTGAATCGCTTCAGCTGTGTCTAAATCTTTGCGACCCCATGGACTGTAGCCTGCCAGGCTCCTCTGTCCATGGGCCTCTCCAGGCAAGACTACTGGAGTCGTTGGCACTGGGGTGGTTGCCCTCCTCCAGAGGACCTTCCTGACCCAGGGATTGAACCCATGTCTCTTACGTCTCCTCATTGGCAGGCGGGATCTCTACCACTAGCACCACCTGAGAAGCCTGTGCTGGGGACCAGGGCCACAGTGCAAAATCAGATCAATCCCTGCCCTCAAGAAGTGACCATTCTGTTGGGAGGTCAACTGGAAACAAATGCACAGAGATGTATATTAAACACCAGACAACGACAAGGTTCTATGCAAACAAATACAACTTGAAGAGGCTTCTGATAGGAAGGGATGTCTGAGACAAGGCCAGGAGGAACAACGGGCACAAAGCCCCAGCTGTATAAATGTCTTTAGCTCCTCTGAGGAACAGCAGGGCCAGCGAGGTAGGAGTGGAATGAGCCAGAGGGAAAGTGGGAGACACAAAAGACCATTGAGGATTTTGGCCTTTACCCACAACGAGATGCAGCTAGGGAAGGGCTCCACTAGGAGGGCTCTGATCTGACTCAGGGGCTCACAGGCTCCCTCAGCTGAGTGTGGGAAGCAGCTGGAGAGGCACCGGGATGGGGGCAGGGAGAGGATGTGATGGCCCTGCGTGGGGTGGGGTGGGGGGTTGTGTGGAAGGGAAGGATGGAGGTGGGGCCAGTATGGGGGCATGGGGGAGCAGAGTTTAGACTCTGGATAGATTTTGTGGGTGGAGCCAATAGGGGCTGCAGAGAGATTAGATGTGGATGTGGGGGAAAGACAGAGGTCAGGAACACCCTAAAATGTTCGGCTGGAGTCGCTGGGCAAAATAGAAATGGCTCTTCTCTCTGGCCAAGGATCACTAAGAATATCTACTTTGTACATTAGGGATTTTTGTAAGTTTGAGATTGCTGTTGTTCACTGCTATAAGAAATAGGGGTGATATTTAGAAACAGAAAAAGAATTTTAGAAAAAATACAGGGGAGGCACGTGGGAGGGGGATTCAGGATAAGAGGGACACATGTATACCTGTGGCCTATTCATGCTAATGTATGGCAAAAACCGTCACAATATTGTAAAGTAATTATTCTCCAATTAAAATAAATTAACCAATTAAAAAAAATACAAATTCTCCAGAGGCTCCACCTCTAGGAAACTTTCCTTGTGTGGTCATGTCAGTCAGCAGCCAGCCTGTACCTTAATCCATGTGTAAAACCCTCCTGTTGGAGATGCCACTGCCCTGCGTGACCCATCCAGCATCCCTAGGGTGAGATTGCCTAGGTCAGCCCAGTCAGCTCTAGGGCCTGTCTCGGACTGTGAGCCCAGCACAGTTCTGACCGACTCCTACTATGGTCCAGGACCCATCATTTCAACTGGGTCCTGGACCCAACTATGGAAGCAGCCTCCTCCTTGGTCTCCCTACTTTCCTGTCCTCCAGTCATTTCCCCGCAGGCAGTCAGAGTGCACCTGTTAACACCAGACTCACACCAGGACCCTCCCAGCTCAAGTACTCCCCTGGCTGCCACTTCCCTCTACAACAGAAGAGATCACTCTTCAGCCCCCATACCCACTCTGCTCCCTCCCACCTCAGAGTGCACATGCTGTGCCCTCCTCCTGGAGCATGCTTTTCCCTTCTTTAGTTAATTCTTCCTATTCTTCAGGTCTCTGCTCAAGCAGCACCTCCTCCAGGAAGTCCTCCTGGATCTTACTGATGGGTCAGGCTCCACAGTATATGATCTTCCAGCTCTGTGATGTCCTCCTTATTGGCCCTCATCTCACTAACCCTTCACATTTGTTTCTGTGAATGTTTAGCTAACAACTACCTCACATACTGGACAAAGCTAAAACAGAGACCTTCTCAAACTTGATTCATGACTATACCCCTGGCACATCATGTAAGCTCAATGAATAGTTATGATGAAAGAGATAATCTACCCATGTTCCTCCTTAGGAAAGTCAATTCCATCCTGAAGCTAAGTTTTCTCTTTTGCAAAATAGTGTTAATTATACTATTTTCCAAGTCTTATTTTCTGGATTCAATTCATCATTCAACAATGAATCACTGAGCATCCTCTGTGTGCCAGGCTCTGTTCCAGGTACTGAAGAAAACTCCACAGTATGTCACAGGGTGATTAGTAAGAAGGAAAATTAAATAAAGTGGGAAAGGGAGGAGGTTTAAATTTTATACTGAAGGCCATATAGTCCTCACACCCAGTGACATTTATGTAAAGACTGGAAGGAAGAAGCAAGCCATGGAGGCATAGAAAAAAGAACCATTCAGGCACAGGACTAGCATCCGCAAACCTCAACCAGGATGCTGGCTCGTCTGAGTTTTTTGTGGGAGATACCGAGAACAGAGAGGATGATGTGAGCTGATGTATACAGAGGTCCTCTGTGTCCTGGCATCTCCTGACACAGGAGCCTCTTTGCTCACCCTGACCCACCTGACCCTCTGTTCCCTCTGCCTGGCGTGTCCCTCCCTCCTCTTCCCTTAGGAGGCCCTTTCCTCATCCTTCAGATTTCAACTCAGCAACCCACCCTTCAAGAATCCCCCTTAAAAAAAAAAAAAAAAGAATCCCCTTCATATACCCCTAGGTGGGGCCAGGCACCTCTGCTGGATGCCTCCAGTCCCCTAGGCTTTTCTCAACCCAGTCCAGATCGCTGAGTGCCAATGTCTGGGGATGGGTCCGTCTCTCTCCCTGCTGGACTGGGAACTTCATGAGGTTAGGGGCTATCTTGGTTATCACATAGCGCAAAGCACAGCAAACATCTGTTGAATAAATAAATGAACGGAAGGGAGGGATCCTAGTTAGGGAGGCCTCACATGGATGCGACAGCCGTCATCTACGGGGTAGGAGCCCAGCAGCGCATCGTCCTGATCCAGCTTGCAGTAGAACTTGTCGTCAGGTCCATACAGATCCAATTCCATGCAAGAAGCAGGGCTGCCCACAACAAGCTGTAGTTTACACTGTGAAGATACAAGAGGGGGGAGGCGAGGAAGAGGTGGAAGGCTGTCAGTGGCCCCACCCTCTGCCCTGAGGCTCCGTCCTTTGTATCAATAACCACTATCCCTTCCCAGTTCAAGAGACCTACCATTTGGGACCCACTAGGGATTCCTAGCCCCACCCCGTTCGGGTCTTGCCCCCAACTCCCCGCAACCTCTGATTTTCCCTGGCCCCGCACCCATTCTCTGGAACCTAAGGTTTTATCTGGCCCCGCCCCGCTGAGGTCTCGTCCCCAACCTCTGCAACCTGGGTTCATTTCTGGCCCCTTTCCTGCGTTGTGGAAGACCCTCCATTTCTTCTTGGTCCCACCCCCTCAAACCCTACGCCCCGCCTCTCCGGACCCCGCCCCCATGGCCACACCTTGAACTCAGCTACGGTGAGGCTGCGACTGTACCGCTTTTGGGAGCGAAAGCTGTTGAGAGAGCTGCTGATGAACACGTTCACTGTGGGCGCCGACAACCCCGTCACCTCCATCTCGCCGCGCCCTGTGGCGGCCCGCAGCCCGGTCAGCCGCCTCACACCGGCTCCTCAGGCGCCACCGCTTCTGGGATATCAGCCCCGCCCCTGCTCCCGGACCTGGCCAATCCACGCACTCCCGTCAGGAGAGTCCACCAATCGCCGCGTCTCTTTGCCGTCGGCAGGAAGAGGGCTCTCGGGTACGCTTGAGTAGGCCCAGCCAGTCCTGAGAGGCCTTCCACGGTCTTTCATGGTGCACAGTTCCTCCAATAGCGGCACGGGAAACGGCCTGGCGGGCGAAGGCTGAAGCCGAGAGGAAGAACTGGCAAAAGCTAGCCCAGTCCGCGAAGGGTAAACTTGCGCATGTGCACTGGCCTTCAGCCTGCAACGAGCTGGGGCGTCTTCATTAATGCTAAGCTCTTCGCGCGTTACGTGACGCATCGTTTTGCTGGCTTTCGTACTACACTATTGTGTGAACTAGGGAAGCACGGCCCAGAAATTGGAAGCAATTATTCTGAGGTATCAAGAGACTGAAGCAAGTAATTAATCAAACCTCAGCGCAGACAGGCGAGCACAAAGCTGCCGGGCACCAGTACACGTGCCCGGCTCCGCCCTTAGTTTGGCGAAGCTAGGAGTTCTGACCCTTCCTGCGACCTGTCTCACGGCGGAGCAAGCGCGGAAGCTGGACCGGCAGTGAGTCGCTATGGAACCCGACGGGACCTACGAGCCCGGCTTCGTGGGTATTCGATTCTGCCAGGAATGGTGAGGCCCGTCTAGCAGTGTGGAAGGGCAGCAAGTAATGGCCCCAGTACTGACCTCTGATTTCCCTCTTTCCCTCTTCACAGTAATAACATGCTTTACCCCAAGGAGGACAAGGAGAACCGCATTCTGCTGTACGCGGTGAGCGCGAGCCCGCAGCGTATTCTGAGGCCGCCCCCTGGTACCCAACGTGGCCCCGCCCTACTCCCTGTGCCGCCCCGACCCCTCCTGGTCTAAGCTCCAGACTATCCCCCAAATGAACTAGGCTTTGTTTTGCCCATCCTTGAGGTGATCCTCGATTACACCCCATGACCCCAGTTCCGAGACTCCGTCTCCTAGTCATGCCCTCCGGGGAAGACCCTGCCCTTCCTTCCACTTCCTTCGGGTATCACCCCTTGACCCCCTTCCCGCCGCACACTCCCTCTCGCAGTGCCGGAACTGTGATTACCAGCAGGAAGCCGACAACAGCTGCATCTACGTCAACAAAATCACGCACGAAGTGGAGTGAGTGGCAGGACCGGAGCTCGGGGACGGGTTTGTTGGCTTGGGAGGTAAGACCAAACATAATTATTCACCCTCTATTCCCTTAGCGAGCTGACCCAGATCATCGCTGACGTGTCCCAGGACCCCACGTTGCCGCGAACCGAAGATCACCCGTGCCAAAAGTGAGTGCGCAGCTGCTGTTGGGGAGGGGAGGTGGCTGGCTTATCCTCACCAGACCGAGAAGCGGTGAGGGTGGGCTATGGCAGGCTCTGAGTGACTGTCCCCTCAGGTGCGGCCACAAGGAGGCGGTGTTCTTCCAGTCACACAGTGCTCGGGCCGAGGTGAGTGGCGCGAGCAAAACTTTCTGGATGATCTTGGTCTGGTCCTTCCCGGGGGGTGGGGATACCTATATTGGGGAAGACCCTGCCCTTCCTGGTTTCCTGAGATGGACCTTTAGCAGTGGGGAAAGCCCTCTATAGTTTGTTCTTTTGGGGTGAGGCTTCTCTGAATGGAGGTTGAGTGTTGTGCCCCACTGTGGGTCGAGAGCCTTCCTAACCATGTATCTTTTCTGCCAGGATGCCATGCGCCTTTACTATGTGTGCACGGCCCCGCATTGCGGCCATCGTTGGACCGAGTGACCCTCTCTCTCCCTTGTGTAATAAATGCTGTGTTCTGTGAGTGCCTTTTGTTTATTTCCGTCTCATGGGTTGGACGCCGGGTACATAGTCTAGGCAGTGCGGTGGAGAGCGCGGTGCCGCGCGAAGGCGTCGGGCTGCGAGCTGGTGAAGCCGCAGTCCTCGCACACGTGTAGCTTTTCACGGCGCTCGCGGTAAGCGTAGCTGGCCGGCTGCCCGTGCACCTTGGCGAGGTGTGCTTCAAGTGAGCAGCGCTGCGTAAATGCTTTCCCACAAGCTCCACAGCGGAACGGCCGGATCCCTGTGCAGGTGGGCCAGAGGGAGGGCGATGGTCCTCATACCAGAGCCTCCCCACCCTCACTCAACCTCCGTGAGCATCCCCTCCACACATGCACACATTTTTGCCCCAAATTCACCAGACCTTGGCCTGCATCTCATCATCTGCTCCCTCTCCACCCAGTGCAAACATGAACCAGACACCTGTGTTCCTACCCTCCTCACTATGATGTTCCCTTTTGCACCCTGTAATCTGGGACCTGAATCCTGTAACCAGTATTTGTTTTCTCCCCATATCCCTCAGCAGGCCCCCACCTTGGCACTACCTGACAACTACTGGCCAGGAGCTAAGGTGCGTGGTGTTCCTAGCCTGCTGAGGCCTGAGTCCTGCCCCACAAACACAAGCACCACTTGTGCACCGAACTCAGGTGTTTGGAGTCTCTTGAGTCCCCTGCACCTCCCACCATTTCCTCCCATCTCCCACCAGCAGCCCCTCCCAGTCCCTGCCGCGGCTCACCTGTGTGTGTCCTCATGTGGCGCTTGAGGTCGAAGGCGTCATGGAAGCCCTTGCCACAGCAGTGGCATACGTGGCGGCGAGCAGGGCTGTGGCACTTGAGGTGCCGGGTTAGCATGCGCTGCAACGGGAAGGCCTTGGGGCACAGCGGGCAGCCAAGGGTCCCGGGGCTACTAGGGGTGGCGGTCAGAGTGCCCTGGGAGGGCTGGAGGAGGGACAGGAGGGTTAGGACCCCAACTCCCCTGCCCGGGATGGAATTAAGTGCCTAGAACCGGGAACCATGGAGGTCTGGTAAGGCCGGAGACTGCAGTTTGCATGAGCAAATCCCATCCCACAAGTCCTTTCCTGGTCACCCAGCCCCCATCTCCCTTCCTTTGTTTTATATTTTTCCATAGTACATACCACCTTCCAACATATTTTTTCCTCTAATTTTATTATCTATACCTGCAACCCCCACCAGATGATAAGCTTCAGGAAGGAATGAGTTTTTGTCTTACTCTTAAACACCCATAGCCTAGAACAGTCCTGGCTTCCAGTAAAAATTGAAATAAAACTCCAGCACATTCACATCCCGCCTAGGGCTTTCCTTCTTCCCGTGTACTCACGGCTGAGTATCTCTTCTGAGAGGCCCCAAGCTCCTCCCCCACCCCTCATCCTGCTCCTGTCACCTTGTCCAGCTCTCTGACATAGATCACCATCCATTTTATGGGCTTGAATCTGTTCTTCTGCCCCACTGGGCATAGAAGCCCTGGGGAAACAGTGCTTAGGAGGAGGCCTAACAGTGAGCCCGCTATTCAGTAAAGGCATTCCCAGCAGAGAGGGCAGTGAGTGAGCAGCTCCTGAGGCTGGAGGGGTCTGTGGGAGTAAGGGGCAGTCAGGGTCTCTTGAGGCTGAGAGCAGGCAGGGGTGAAACAGCAGGGCCTTGGGCGCCTGCCGCAGACTCACCGCTGCCCAAGAGCCCCCAAGGTCGGAAGTCCGGTGTGCCTGCGGCCCACCCCGGTTCCTGCAGTCTGAGGAGAGAAACCAGGTGGTCATGCTTTATGTCTCCCCTGCCCCTCACCTCCAGGCCCAGGGAGGGGCCCACCTGGGACATAGGTGTCTCCCCGGAGCTGGTCAGGCAGGTGGTTCCAGTTGGGTGGCTGTGGACGCCGACTCCTGACCAGAAAGGCACGGGGCATCACCTCTGGGAATAGGGCGACAGCTCCACACATGCAGCTGCTTCCTCCACCTGCTGTCAGACCTCAGGTCCAGGATGACTCTCCCAGGTGGGAAGGGAGGGGGAAGCCCCAGAGAAGCCTTGTTCCCGCCATGCAAATTTCCTGACAGGCTCTGGGGGCAGACTTAGCCAGCTCTGGTTACCTCTGCCTCGGGGCCTGCCATTCCTCCCGCTTCTCCTCTGCCAGGTTTCCCAGGGCCCTCTCCAGCCTCCAGGGGGAGACAAGCCCTAAGTCCTCCGAGGAGGTCCAGCAGGGCAAGAGGGAACCTAGGTGGCTCTTGGGGGGCAGCGGTGGGGGGGTGCGGGAGAGAGGAAACAGAGACCCCACTGAGGCTGAGTGTCTTTCCATAGTACCAGCAGGGCCCAGGACCAGAGGGCCTGTTTGCCAAGCAAATTAGTCACTACCGGACATCCACCAGCCTGCTTGGTTATTCAAATCACAGCAGCTGTATGAGGAATCAGGGGAGGGGGTGACTGTGATTGCTCCAGAGGGTGGGGGGACAGCAGAGTCTACTTAGTAAGATCAAAGTGAGAGTCCATGCTGATCATCGTCAAGAAGAAGCTCTACCTTTCTGATCCTCAGAGGATAAGAGCTGATGGTCAGCCAGAAGCACTGTTCTAGTGTAGGGGACATTACCATACTTGGTTGATTATTAGTCCAGGGCCTTCCCAGGTTGTGCTAGTTGTAAAGAACCTGCCTGCCAATTCAGGAGACACAGGAGATTTGGGTTCAATTCCTGAGTCGGGAAGGTCCCCTGGAGAAGGAAATGGCAACCCACTCCAGTAATCTTGCCTGGAGAATCCCATGGACAGAGGAGCCTGGCAGGCTACAGTCCATGGAGTCACAGAGTTGGACATGACTAACTGAATGTGCACCTGCACGTGCGTACACACATGCAAACACACCAGTCCAGCTCCTAGTAATTGTCTGGGACACCACCCTCCTATTGTTCAGGAACTAAAGGATGGGTCACGTGACACAGCCAGAGGCTCTCAGGACCCTAACCCCAGCACTCTGGCCAGGCTCTGTTCTAGACTGGTCATTGGCTTCTTAGCCAGGGATTATGGATTTTGAATATTCCCCTGCAGTTAACTTTTTTTCACTTATTCACCTACATTTTCCTGAGCTCCAACAACAGGCCAGGCCTACCTTAGCACTGAAAAAGAAGACATAACCTTATGGGGAGACACCCAGAATGACCAAGGCTATGGAGCACAGGCAGAGGGACCCAGCTTCAGTGGGGAAAAGCCAGGGGGCTCAGGAGACCCAGGAGAGGCTCCTGATTCAGTCTAAGGGTTCAGGAACGACTTTCCAGGTGTGAAACTTGATGGAAGAAAAGGTCTCCGATAAACAGGGAGGGCTCTCCAGGCAGAGGAATAATCTGTAAAAGGCTTGGTGGTGAAAGAAGCAATATTTATTCATTTCTTCACATTCCTGGAGAGTCAGTCCTGCTAATGCATTTGCAGAAACAAGGGAGTTTAGTGTTGGAAGTCTGCAGGCCCAGAGCTTTGTCATTTAATCTCCACGGAATCTGGGCCAAGCCATGTCTCACTGAGCCTCAGTTTCTTCATCTGGAAATGGGACTGATGAGTCTTCCCACCACTGTTTTGTGTTGAAAATCCATGTAGATCATCAGGTGGGAATGCTTTGCATAGAATCTGGCATGTGACAGTGATAAATGGGGGTTGTTTGAAAGTCTTTTTTTTTGGCCACATAGCAATCATGATGCAGGATCTTAGTTCCTCAACCAGGGATTGAACCTGCCTCCCCTGCAGTGGGAACTCGGGAGTCTTAACCACTGGACCACCAGGGAAGCCCTGTTTCAAAGTCTTGCAGGGTGGGGTGGCTAGGCAAGCATCTGAGTTTCAATCGGCCCGTGAAATGTGATTTTAGGTGTCTCATCTCTCAATTGCTGGGCTTTACGCAGTGTGCCTGGCCCAGGTCTGGGGGCCCAGTATCTAGCACCTGTAGGTTGTGGAGTGCAGGGCCCAGAGGCACTGAAGAACGAGCCAGTGAATGGGTTATGGGAGCCATTTTGTTGTTCTCTGGTGTCTAGTTTTCCATGCCCAACACCAGGTCTCTCGGGATACCTGGTTCCTGAGTTGTTGCTGAAAACACATTAGGGAAGAACTCTGGGCCTGGGGGTCTTTACTTTCCCCCAGTCCCCTTTCTGTCCTGTGTCCTGGAGGCTGACCAGGGTGGGAAGCATCACCTGGAACCCTGTGCCTGCTGGCTTCCGGTAGGGTTTGGTAATGGGGGGCCCCACAGAAGATGGAGCCCCTCTTGCCAGGGTCACAGCTCCCCTCAGGGCAGCGCCCTCTCCTCTGGGTTCCACTTTGCTCCCTATGCCTTCTGGCCTGAGCAGTGAATAGCTCTCCTCCAGTACCATCCGAGGGTACTGTACTGGCCCTGAGGTTCCCCTGTCCACTTCTTTACAAATGATCCCTCTGCTGAACTCTTTGAAATATCCCACATGAGCATGCTTCCTGCTGGGACACTGCTGCATGCACACACATTCACCAGCATTGGTTTCTTTTTTAAAAATATTATTTACTTGGCTGTGCTGGGTCTTAGTTGTGGTGCTCTGAATCTTCCAGTTATGGCATGCAAACTCTTGAGTTGCAGCATGTGAGATCGAACCTTGGGTCCCCCACATTAGCAGTGCAAAGTCTTACCCACTGGACCACCAGGGAAGCTCCAGCAGTGGTTTCTTAACCAGTTGGTTTGTCTAAGGAAACTCTTGTCCTTCCAGGACCGAAGAGCTCAGCAAAGGTGGAGACTGGCAGACACACTGCCAGCCCACCCTCCTATTGTGCTGAGAACCCAATTTTGTTCAAACAGTAACATGCCCAGGACAGGAGAATGGCTGAATCAAGCAAATTAAAGTCATTTCCATTCCTGTTGCCTGCACTGCCCTGAAAGGGAAGGGTGTCTAAGAAGGTTTGGCACTTTTCCCCCATGACCTTGGTGGGTGCCCAGCTTCGTGCCTTTGCTCCTAGTTAGGTGAGGGTGTACGCTGGGAACCATGGCAGCTGTGTTGCCACCATGAGGGCCTAAGCCAGGGAGTGAAACTCAGACTCATAGAGGGTGGAATAGAGCAGTAACAGAATCTAGAGTAACAAATGTCCCTGTAGCTTGGGGCCCCTTAAGCCAGGCGTTTGCTTCCTGGAGTTGAAGACCTTCACTATGATACAAGGTAGAAGGAGGGGTAAAATCCACGAGGGACAGAGGCTCAAGGTGGTCCCCTCCGTGTCCAGTCACCTCACAGATTTTACAGCTTTGGCTGAGCCAGGCCAGGGCGGGGAAAGTGGTCTCCAGTCTTCAGGGGTGGCCTGTGAACCCAGGTAGGGAGCCTCCTGACAGAAATGCGGCCCACCTACGTGTCCTGGGCTTCCTAAGGCAGGAAGGAGGAGGGGAACCCTGTGAAATAAGCAACACTGGGCATCTCACAAACGCCAAGATCAGGGATCTCATTTAGAGAAAAACCTGTATTGTGAACGTGTCTTGGATTTAATTTTTTTTCCTTTTTTTAAATTTAATTTTGGTTGCACTGGGTCTTTGCTGCTGTGCAAGAGCTTTCGCTAACGGTGGCGAGCAGGGGCTACTCTTCCTTGTGGTGCATGGGCTTCTCATTGCGGTGGCTTCTTTTTGTCATGGAGCACAGGTTCTGAGCAAATGGATTTCAGCAGTCATAGCTCGAGGGCTCTTTAGAGCACAGGCTCTGTGGCATGTGGGATCTTCCCAGACTAGGGATGGAACCCTTTCCCCCTGCATTGGCAGGCAGATTCTTAACCACTGGATTATCAGGGAAGTCCCAGATTAAAATGACTTAAAACATCAAGGCCCTGCCTAGTGGGACCCAGTTTTCCTCCCACCTCCTCTCCTACCATCTCCTTGAGTCCACTCCATTCCAGCCTCCTGGCTTCATTGCTATTCCTTTTATCCTCACATCTGAGCCTGCCATGGGGCCTTTGCACTGGCAATTCTCTCTGCCTAGATACTTGCCCAGTTGTCCACACGGCCTGTGCCCTCTATCAACCCTCTGTTCCAATGTCACCTAAGAAAGGCCTTTAACCAGCAGTGACTGTGAGATCCTTCCGTTTATCTGCAGTCACACAGTTATTGTATTAATTCCTATCTTTTGCTCACTAGAAGGTGAATGCATAATGCTCTGCTTGTCCTGTTCCCTGCTCTACTACTAACATGTAGAACAGTGATGAGACATAGGACCAGGAATTCCTAGGGGCTGGAAAGACTTTTCAACAACTACGTAATTAGTTCTGTGTTTACAGGAGCAACAGAGGGCCAGGTCCTCAGGCTGAAGGGCCTGGCTCTACCACCAGGCAAGCCTGGGTTTGAGTCTCAGCTCTGTGGGGCCCTAGGCATGACCCTGGATATCTCTCTGAGCCTGTTTCTGGTGAGCCATGATCACATTAGAGCCTGGAGGAACTCATAGGCAAGTGGGGGTTCGGGCCCCACAGAACACATGATAGGACTGGGCTTCAGGGGAGGGCCCTGCTCCTGCTGCGCTTCCTTTTAAAAGACTCAGGACCTTTTAAAAGACTCAGGACAGTGAGGGCTTTTGTGGTCCCAGTAGTATCTTCTCAGCAGATATACCAGCAGATATACCAGTGGCTAGAGGCCTGCTGCCTGGGGAGGCTGGTCCCAGAGCTGGAAGCTCATGGGACGTTGGAGCTGGACAGTCTTGCTGGTGGAAGAATTACTGGCTCCAGCTGCTGGGTGGCCTGGGCTGGATTGTCCAGTAGCTGAATTTGTTTGTCCTTCCTCACTTTCCCCTGCTGCAAGTGGGAACAAAAGCCTGGAGCTCATAGGATCCAGCGTGGGCCTGGTCCAGGGGCTGTGAGACAGTGTTGTGGGGATATGTGAATTGGTGGCCAGCGTCTGGCACATGGTAGTAATAGCGGCTCCAGTGGGTTCGTGGGCATTGGGAGGGGGCAGGGAAGAAGGGCTGGTCCCTCCCTAGCGGCCAGCAGCTCAGTGGGCTGGGGACAGGCGACATGGGAGCCAGGTGCTGGGGTCATCATTCCTGCAGTGCCCAAACAGTCCTGTGTGCTCCACGGCCGGTGAGTTCCCTGGGCTGTCCTCCTCCCCTCTCTCCCCACATCCATCCGAACGGGGCTTGGTGGATGCTCCAGGACAGGCACCAGGCGCCACTTCTGCAAGCTGTCTGTTTATTTGCTTAAAATACCTATTTCCTCAGAAGCACAGGGCTGCGTGGAGAGGCTGCTGGCCCTCAGTCCCCCCGTGCCTTCCTCCTCACAGCCTGCACCAGCAGCTCTGAGTAGTGTTCCAGCAGGGCACGCAAATCTGGGCTGGCCAGGGGGCACAGGGTAGGCGGGGAGGGGCCACCTGGGCTGGGCAGGGCCTGGGCTGTGGCCACATCCGTCCCCACTAGCCAGTCGCTGGCCTCTAACTGGCTGTGGATCCAGAGGAAAGTGGAGGCCAGCTCAGTCCGTGCCTGCCGCTGTTCGGCGCTCACCTCATCACTGGAGACCATCTGCAAGGGGCGCCCACCTTGTTAGGGGCCACCTGGGCTGGGCAGTGCCAGGGAGCCCCTCAGCCCTTTCCCCTGACCCTGGGGCTTGGCTTACCAGGTGGTAAAGGTCCAGGGCTTCCTGGAAGGCATCCTGCAGTCTGTGCACGACAGTCCCCACATTGCTCAGCTCCAGGGGGTCTGGAGGCAGGAAGCCAGCTGGCCCCCTGGGGTCCCCCCAGTGTCCAGGGCAGTCCTGGACTGGACTGGGCGCTTCTGGGGGTGGAAGGGAGGAAATGAGAAAGACACTTCTACTTTCCAGCTGATCTGAAGAGGCCAGGGTGGCTGGGCCGATCCCAACTGTTGTCCCCTTTCCTGGGACATTTCCCTCAGTCCCCAAGGCTCCTTTCCCAACCCTCCTGCAGGTCTCTGCTCAAATGTCACCTTCTCCCTGAAACCTTTTCTCATTGTTCATCATCCATTAGCCACTGCATCCACCTGTCACTCCCTAAACCCTTTCTTTCTCTTCCTTCTCTCCACAGCACACCTTGCTTCATGATACACTTAACCCTTTCCTTATAGATTTAGTCTGGTCAGGGAGGGGGCACAGTCTTGAGGCACTAGCCTACTGTGTTTCCCTTTTGTTTGCCTGGCAAAGTAATAAAGCCACTCTTTCCCTCTCCTCCATTAAAAAAAAAAAATTTAGACTGGGGATTTCCCTCAGTTAAGGTGTTAATTTCTGTAGTCTCATTTACCACCAGCTCCCATGGATTGGGAAGATCTCCTGGAGGAGGGCATGGCAACCCACTCCAGTATTCTTGCCTGGAGAATTACATGGACAGAGGAGCCTGGCAGGCATCAGTCCATGGAGTTGCAAAGAGTTGGACACAACTGAAGCAACTTAGCACATCCATGTCCCCAGGGCCCAGAACAAAGCCCAGTATATACAAGTATTCACTAAATATGTAACGAAATGAATGAATGAATGGCACAGTGCCTGTGGCCTTTGGAGCTGAGCCAGCTGTTATATGGGATGAGCTTAGGGGACAATCCCTCATCCTAAGGATGGTACTCACCAGGGGTGGGCTCCCGGAGAGAGGCGATGCTGCCAAGGACCCTAGGCCTGGCTTCTGGGAGCGGGAGACTGTTGGGGACAGGGGTATTGAGGCGCACAGGGGCCAGGAACCTTGGGAGAAAGGCGGACTTGTGGAGCCTCGAGGCGATCCCATCCGCAGGGCTGTGGGCTGGAAAACCATCTGTCGTAACAGTGACATTGCGTTCTGTGTCCACAGGCTCCTGGGACCAGACACATGTGGTGGGAGGCTCCAGTTGGGGTGGGGGCAGCAAGAGCCTATCACAGATGCTTGACAGGCTGAGTTTCAGGCTGGCGCGGGCCTCATGGTTGCCCCGGGAGGGCAGGGCAGGTTCTCGGCCCTCACTATCAGAACTGGGTGTCACTGTGGTGGTGACATCCTGGAGCTCCTGGCTCAGGGAGGCCAGCTCCTCCAGGGAAATGCTGCGGGACATCTTGGCATGGGAACTGGCAGTGGCCTCCATGTGGGAGTGGGTGGTGGGGGTGTGGACACTCCGAGCCAGGCCTGCAGTGGGTAGGGCTGTGGGTGCTGGTGGCTTCTTGTCGGTGGGAAGCGCAGAGGAGGTGGGCATGCAGGGCGCCAGGCCTGTGAGGCAGGGGGCTGGAAAGGAAGTAGGCGGCTTGCTCTCACAGCCCAGCTCAGGGCTGACAGACAGGGCCCCCCACCTGGCGTGGCTGCATGGTCCGAGTGGCCCCTGGCCATCCCCACCATGGCTAAGTGAGCCACCCAGGGCTTTCCTCTGGGGGATGGGGACACTCACGCAGTGGGGACCACATCTCCAGTGTCTCCTCAGCCTTTCCTCCAGAGATGACCTGCAAACACAGCTTCGCAGTAAGGACAAGGCCTCCCGGCTCCCAGGCCCGTGTCTTGAGGGAGGGGGCCCGAGTACTCACGTTGGTCCTGACTGGGGAGGTGCAGCCAGCACCTGCCGTTGGGGGCTCGCCCCCAAGGTCCGTGAGTCTGACCTCCGAGGACTTCACGAGATGCCGGGGCAGCCGGGAAGGGAAGGTGTGGGGGAACCTGTTAGGAAAACAGGTGGCAGTGGGGGCCCTGAGAGTGCTCAGGGGC